ACCCCATTGTGATTGATGGATCCTAGTTGTCACCATTGGGCTCGAGTGGTCTGTCATCGGCAATTGGCATCCTCATCGAAAGGTAATAATTGACTATCAATTTTTTGTTCTACGATCCAATCAACGTTCTAATAGTTTATATTTGTGTAATCATTTTCTTGTATCTTTTCTGTTGAAACTCTCACACTTGTCCTCAGCTAATTTTACAAGCACTTAAATGTGACCGCTGGTTTGATGCAGTTGCTGTATGTGCAAAGGTTGGAAACTTGGCCTTGTTTAACTAAACTTACTAATTAAGCTCTGGCCTTGTATTTATGTGCTTGTTTCTAAACTTTAGCTATGGTTTTCCTATTACTGTTTTCTTAAACACTGTTTCTTGGATGCTGCTCAACTTCTAGGTTGCAGCAGAAAAGCCAAACCCTACAACATTCTTAAAGGCCTATGAGCTGTTAGGAGTGAAACCTAAAGAAGCTGTGCATATTGGTGATGACTGCAGCAACGACTTATGGGGAGCTAGGGATGCCGGATGCAATGCCTGGCTTTGGGGCACTGTTGTTTAGTCCTTCAAGGAGGTATATTTTTCATGCTGCTCAACACTACCGTGGAATTCAAACCAGTTCTTGTTGAACACTCTTATCGATTTCACAAAAGTCATAGACAACTACATGGGGTGTTTTGACATTTTTTTGTGCTTCAGATGACCTATTATCTCTGACATAGTTTCCTACTGTATCATGCAGTTTTTTCTGTCACCATGACCCCTCTATTACTCCCTATATTAATAAGACCCTCTACTGTAGTAGGAGATGGGTGAGTTATCCATTCTTTCATCACAAATCACACTTATTGATGTTTTCTGCATGGTACATATTAGTTCTGTCTCATGTCACCTGAGTTAGTTTTGTATCCTTTTTTATTGTTACCACTTACCATCTCTGCTAGAACGTCATGTCTAATTTTCTAGTAACTAACATTACTTCATTTGATGAAGTTATTTAGAATGAACAACCTCCTCCATTATGTATTATTGTAGCTTACAAGATTTTTGTGGTCATCTTTTTTTCCTTATGTTACTCTTAGGAAGAAACATGATATAATTGTACTTTGGTTAACAATGTTGATATATGAGTCTTGAGGAACAAAATGGCTTAGGGTTTGTGTACATGTGTTCATAGGGATGAGTGGGCGTCTTTGTTGTACTGTGCAACTTAAAAAAATTGTTTCCATGTGTTGTTCTCCTGTTCATGAAAACCACACAAATAAAACATTAAGTTAATTTATTACAATCACCAATAATGTAAATTGCAAGTATCGAGCATTGTAATTTTAATTATGAGCATGTGCAATATGTGGAATTTTAATGAACGTGAAATCTATGAAAGGTTCATGCTTGTCTTAAGTTTAGAGCTCAAGGTTTGCTTGTATCTGCTTATGATCTCCAAAAACTTTGCCGCTTTGCTATGATCAGTCTGACGATGAACGTGAAATGTGTGCAGTGATAGACAACATTTTTGTCCTTCTATAGAAAAAACTTGTACTTTGTTTATTGTGATTTGTGCCAATATAGGGCCTGTTTGGTTACCCCCTACTAAAATTTAGCTACTAAACTTTAGTCACTTTAGCTACTAAACTGCCAAACAAACTAGCTAAAAAGGGACTAAAATAGTTTAGTCACATTAGTCACCCAAGAGTAGCTAAAAGTAGGCTAAAGTGCTAAGTGGACAAAGGCTGCCCCTCATTATTCCTGGTCCCCCACCCTAATTTGGGCATTCATTAAGGGTAGTTTGGTCTTTGTTGAATTGCTTTAATGGCATTTAGTCTCTTTTAATCACTAGAACCAAACAGGGTAACTAAAGTTTAGCCATTGGTTTTAGTAGCTAAATTTTAGTCATGGAAAACCAAACTGGGCCATAGACAACATTTTTGTCCTTGTCCTAGAAAAAAATGTAATTTGTTGGCAACACAGACAACGTTCCAACGCTGTATTTGTGGTTCAGTAGATCTAGGATTTGATGGCATATGTGATGTATTTGTGGTTTGAGTTTATGGAGGATGGAGTCTGGTTGCTTTCGCCTCACCTTGACGGGCGTCGTCTCGCTGGGGATTTTCCTTGTTTGTTGGATTTGCCTTGTGTGTCATCACTTCCGCTGCAGATGGGGTGGGGATGATGTCAGGCGAGGTGGAGGAGGGGTGAAGTTGAGATGTCTTGTACGGATGACGATGGAGATGGGGCGGGGTTGGCAATGGCCATCGGCGGAAGAAAGCCGATGTTTGTCACTCGATTGCTAGGTGCGTGTGTGGATGTGGTGTTCACTGTTGCGGTGTGTAATAACTCAGCTATTGTGTGTGTTCCTGTTGCCGCTTTCAGTTTCCTTGTTCTCGAGGTGGGCGGAGGCTGAGCTGCCTGGGGATCTTGCAGCCTGGGGGAAGCTAAGCAATCAGCCAGGGAGGGAGGGAGGGAACGAGAGAGAGGAACCGGACATTCCAATGTTTGTTGGATTTGTAGCAAGTAATGATGGTATTGACATGATTTTTGAACTTTTGTCTTTGGTCTAAGAATTGAAGTAGGATAGACTGTTAATACAACAACTGTAAAAGTGATTCAGTTAATATAAATGTGATTCAGTTAATGTAAAGTTTCCTGATATCCTGGGAAATAGGACTCCATTTATTCACCGCTAACTCCATTGTTGATACAGTATAACATCTGACAAGAAACTGAACTGCTCATTTTAATGCAGCTAATCTTGAGATGAGGGACAGTGACCAGAGGCGACACTTGAAGCAGACCTGAAGGCGAGCGAGAGCTTCCTGAACCAGAAAACACTATAGCTAGAGAGCTATGAGATGTCCCAGACTCCCAGCACATGCAGGAGCAACACGCTACGGCCTAGCCTTGCGATCATCTTGCTGGTAAGCATGCTCAATCACTCAAGGTCCTAGTTGACATGTCAATAAATGTTGGTCTCTATGAAGTTTCATACTTCTGCAGCCTACGTCATGATACGGTCATTTTGTCATTAGTACTTAATCTCACTAATGGCATTTAAGGATAGTTTCTGACAGTTTGTCAAGAAACACAATGTCCGACTAAAAACTGAATTTCCTGACTGATTCCGAGATAAATCCTCATCATTAGTCACAAGCATAGATGTGTTTTTATTTATTAATTGTAATGATCAATTTAACCACAAATACTAAACACAAGATGTCTACATTACTTCAAATCTAGTGGAATTACTTATGCAGTTTACCTTCTTTTGATTGTTGTAGTATTTGGTGAAAACACGATTGATGATAGTTATCAAGATGTTGTCAATATCGATATATCTTCTGTGGTGATTGAGCAAATGAAGAAGAAATACCACGATAAGCCTCAAGTTAAATGTATGATCTTTGTATAGGAAAAGCAACAGTATAATTGCATTATCAACAAGTACTAGTTGCACTATTCGAAATATGCAATTTTCGTATTTATGTTTTGAAATTTTCAAGATCATACTCATTGTGCCTTTGTTTGCTCAGAATATCTTAATATGTGAATCTTGTCAGGTGAGACTATGCAGTGATCCTGGTGTTCCACATTCTGTGGACTTCACATGCGAGCTGGGACATTTAACTTATAGCAGGGGTTTAAGTGGGACAAATTTCTGCGTTTTTGGTTAACTATGTAAAGCCCAGTTCAATGTGAAGAAATAGGCCCATATTGTCCGGTACACCTCCATAACGGGTTTTTTCGGACCCGTTAAGGAGCAGATCTATGTGCTGGGTTTCGTTGCGGACCCGTTTTGTTTCCTTGTGAACAGAAAACAGTGCGTACAGTTTTCCATGGTTAACGGGTTTATTTTGGCGGGCCCGTTAAGGGCTACCAATGTGTATCGTGTATTTTTTCGGACCCGCTTGAATGGAAGCCTACAGAAACAACTGAGACAGATCCTGAGCGTTGGATGGAGATCTAGTGGCTATAGTCGTTGCCTGAAAAAAGTCTATATTTCAGGCATCTGAAATATAGCGAATCCCATAATTATATGTATTTTTTTTAAAAGTACAAAACCGCTTAGACCGTTTAACTTTGTTTAAACACTATGTAAACAGCCTAAACGCTAAACGAAGAGCGACAGTATAAAAACCATTTACCATCAAGGAAAACATTGACTACTGGCCACCGAACGTGCGTCTTCCTTGTATTGTGCCATGTAGATGTGGCAGGTCTCATCTCATGACTAACCCAAGTTTCACTTTAATTATAAAAAAAAACCCAAATTTCACTTTTACCTCAACCCACTTGGAAATATATGGACAACTCCTTGGCTAGCTCGAAAATGTAGATCACTTTGATTTTATCCCAAATCAAACATCTCTAACAAAAGTTCACATAAAAATATTTTTTGGCCCATGGTGATATCGGAATAACATAACACATGATCTTTGTGTGTGCAACACATTTTGCTTGCTGGTCCCCAAAGCTAGTTAGTGGTGCTCGTACGAGAACCACTATTGTAACGAGATATTTGCCCCGGGCCCCACCCGTCATCGTCGGCCCCAGGAGATCCTCGGCCGGACACTAGGGATCAGCACCTGGCACGCCTCGACGTGCCGAGCAGCCCGTCCGCGAGAGGCCAAATGGCGCCGTGCGTGCTCAGCACCCACCTCCATCTCCATGGCTCCGTTCCACGTTCCACTTCCACCCCGTCGCTGCTGAACCACCGTAGGCGTCGGCTCCCTCCGTCTCTCCCTTCCCTTTCCCTCCCCCAGCTGCAGTGCGAAGGAGAGTGACGACGCCCCGCGCACGCATCGCAGTCGCAGCACGGCAGCAGCAGTAAGGCACAAGCCGAGCGGAAGCTGTAACAACGACACGAAACCAAAAACCTCGCGTATAATAAATCCGCTCGCCGTTTGGGCGCGCCCACCCGCTCCGGTCCGCTCGCCGCCGACCGACCACAGCCCCGGCCCGCCGCGCGAGTGGGTGGGTGCGGGGTGCCGGTGTCGGTGGGACGGCAATGCCGGAGGCGGCGCGGGGCATGCTGGATCCGGCGGGCGAGGGGGAGGTGGAGCAGGAGGAGGAGTTCTACGAGTCGCTGGATCGGATCCTCTCCTCTTCCTGCTCCTCCACCTCCGCCTCCGCCTCCGACGACGACGCCGACCACCGCCGCCGCAGCAGCAGGCGCCACCACCTCCTCCACCAGCACCACCACAACCCGCCGCCGTCCTCGCGGCCGGACGCGTCCTCCGCGTACGACGTCTGGATCTCCGAGCCCACATCCGTCGAGGAGCGCCGCCGCCTCCTGCTCCAGCGCCTCGGCCTCGGCCTCGCCTCCGCCCCGCCGCCGCCTTCTCCGCCTCGCCGCTCGCCGTCGCCTCCCGTGTCTCCCCCGGCCTCGCCTCCGGCGCCCGCGGAGGAGCCCAGATCCGGCGGCGGCGGGCTCGGGAGGCCTCCGCTGGCGCGGAATCCCAGCTCCAGCGGCGGGGAGCAGCAATGCCGGATCCGGAACCTGGACGACGGCACGGAGTTCGAGGTCGGGGAGGTGCACGAGGAGGAGGTGGTGCGGGAGGTGGGCACCGGCCGCCACCTCACCTTCGAGGAGTTCGAGCTCTGCGTTGGCCGCTCCCCGATCGTGCACGAGCTCATGAAGCGGACCACCACCGCGGCCTCCGCGTCCGCCTCTGACAACGCCGCCCCCGCGTCCAGCAGGCCCCGGAGGAAGGCCGGGGGCGGCTGGCTGCGCGGAATCAGGCAGCTGGCGGGCGCCGTCGCGTACGGGCGCCGCAGCGCAGACGTAGGGGACAAGGAGAAGGAGAGGAAGGAAAGGGAGGCGCGGCGCCTCAGCTCTGCCACCGATGACAGCCTCGATGGCTCCGGCTCGCGCAATGTCGGGAGGGTCCGGGTGCGCCAGTACGGAAAGGCGTGCAAGGAGCTCACTGGGATGTTCATGACGCAGGAATTGGCTGCCCACTCAGGCTCCGTGTGGTGCATCAACTTCAGCCTGGATGGACGATACCTTGCCACTGCTGGAGAGGATCGTGTGATCCATGTGTGGGAGGTGTCGGAGGGAGACAGAAAGGGCGAGTTGCTCGGGGAAGCTTCGGTGGCGAAGGAGAGTGGTGGTGGCTGTAGCCCGTTTCTCGCGGTTGTTGGGAATGATTCACCGGAGATCGCTGCATTGTCATTGTCCTGTGCTGATGGGGGCTATGTGGAGAAGAAGAGAAGGCCGAGGAAACAGAGCAATCGGAAGTCTGTCGGGTCTGATCATCTAGTTGTTCCGGAGTGTGTATTTGGTTTCAGAGACAAGCCAGTTTGCTCGCTTCTGGGACATGCCGCCGACGTTCTTGATCTTTCATGGTCCAAATCTCAGGTACGAATTCGTCATCTACATCTCAATGTCATTTTTGGGTATTTTTTGTATTATAATTCTGAAACATCTCGTTCAATAATTGCACAGACCAATTTTCTTCAGACAGAAAAGAAACACTTAATGTCTGTTGTGATGAATTCTAGTATGGCTGTAAAGAATACTGTTGTCAAATGGCCATAAACCAAATGAATGTACAATGTTGCAAGCAAATCATTTTTGGCATTTTGCCACATGGGAAATTGGGCATATGTAGCAGCATGTAACAGGAGATCTTGTTGCTGAGAACTACACTAATTATGCAACAGTACGTGGTGAATTTTCTTGCCGTATGTAATAGTTTGCGCATTACTTATCTGTGCAAATCTGATATTATTGACATGTCTGTTCGATAAAGAAAAATACAACGTATTTATATTCATCGCGAACCTTCCACTGTTATAAGAAGGTTACTGCCCTGCTCTTTTTAGGCCTGCTTCTTTTTGGCACTTTAGGTCTTATTAATGTTCGGTCAGGAAACAGTCAGTACAAGTTATTGGCCACTACTGTCAGAAAATAGTTATGATTTACACCTTCTCTTGCAGTACTTGGTCTCATCCTCCATGGACAAAACTGTTAAGCTCTGGGACATCACTACCAGTACCTGTTTGAAAACATTCTCACATACGGACTATGGTGAGTTTTGTCACATGATATATCTCTATCCATTTGTTACAGTCTCTTTTTTTTTTCTTAAAAAGAAAGATGCATTCCCTTTTATTCCTCAGTACAAATTGTTTCAACTTTGGACCATCCTGACAGATAATTTTGCTTCTTTGCAATCAAACTTTTGGCAGTGACTTGCATCCAGTTCAATCCTGTAGATGATAACTTCTTCATTAGTGGATCACTGGATGAGAAAGTTCGCATTTGGAATGTCCGAGATCGTAAGATTGAGGATTGGAATGATCTTCATGAGATGGTTACCGCTGCTTGTTATTCCCCTGATGGACAGGTTGAAGCAGTTCCTTTCTAGTACATATTTCTTTTTACTATAAAAATGTGCTTTGATTTTAATCTCTGTTGCCTTTGAAGGTTGCAATGGTGGGCTCTCACAAGGGAAGCTGTCATATATTTGATACATCTGGTATGACAGCCTTGCTCTCGCACATTCTGACTCATGTGCAGTTGTGCAGTTATTCTTTTTTTTTTTTTTTTTTTTTTTTTTTTTGGCTAGAGATTTATACACCGACGAGTGATAACCTTGAGAGCTCCAGTTCCTCATATGATGAACTCATATTCATATTGGTTTAATCGTTGCAGAGAGGAAGCTTCAGTACAAAAGTCAGATAGATTTAAGAATTAGGAAAAAGAAGTCTGGCCAGAAGAAGATAACTGGCTTCCAGGTAATACACACACAGAGCATCCATTTCCCCGCCAACTTCTTCTTTTTGTTTGTTAAGAAAGGCACATTCTTATTTTGGACCCCACAAGGAAAACATCAATCTGACACCTCCAGTCTCCGTTTTTTTTTTTTTTTAAAGAAACCTCCAGTCTCTGGTGTGATACTGTTGTCTACCACTGAATTAAATATCTGTGTTCCTTATGACAGTTTGCTCCTGGAAGCTCCTCGGAAGTTCTGATTACTTCTGCGGATTCAAGAATACGTGTTGTTAACGGCGATGAATTTGTTCACAAGTTTAAAGGTAATTCCTCATTCTCCTGCCAATCTGCCATGGTAAATTGGAGATCAGTTACATGTATTATTTTCATCTAATATAAAGGACATTCCCTTGCCTTATGGAGCTGTATGGGCTTGTGTGGTAGTTCTGGGTTTTTAAGTTTACTTGGCGTTTGACTTTAATCCTTTCACCAGGGTTTCGGAACACGAGTAGCCAAATCTCAGCTTCTGTAGCTCCGAATGGGAAATACGTCATCTGTGCCAGTGAGGATTCTCACGTCTATGTGTGGAGACATGACAACAGTTCCCACCCTAGCAGGAGCAGGAGTACAGTTGATGTAACCAACTCATATGAACATTTCCACTGCCATGGTGTGACCGTGGCTGTCACATGGCCTGGTGCTGAAACCCGAGGTTCGTTTGGATCTCGAAGCAGCAGGCACAGTGATTCAGATGGAGCAGTGAACTTTGGTCGAGACCTCCCAGTTGAGAACACTCAGCACAGTTCTGATGCAGCTGATATCAGATACAATGAGAGCCCAGTTTGCGAAGGAATGACAAGCAGATGCACCAGTAGACATCAAGGTGATGGAGCATCCACATCCTGGCCTGACGAAAAATTACCGTCAGCCAAGAGCAGCCCTGGTCACTGCTCGTCCGATCTTTGCATGGGAGCTATGGATGTCCAGCGCCGGTCTGCGTGGGGTTTGGTGATTGTCACGGCTGGGCGGGGAGGCGAGATCAGGGTGTTCCAGAATTTTGGCTTCCCAGTTCAAGTGTAAAGCTAGCGTGAGATCTTGCAGATAGGGATTTGTTTGGTTCTTTACTGTATAGATATCGGTAGGTTGTCAACAGTTTTACTGAAAAGTTCTCTCTGCTGCCCTGTCTCGTTGGATGCTTCAAGATTGTACTCCCAGAACCACACTATCATATGGTTAACACTATCACTTGTTCATACAATACAAAACTTTGTGTAACTGTATGCTTGGCACACATTACCTTAATCTGTTCGTATCTAATTTTCATACAAGTAATATATGAAACGAAAATATTTTCCCAAATTCATGAATTTACATTTTCAATTTTACACTTCCATACTTTCTGCATTTTCCCTATATTTCTGGTGTCTGATTTTTTGTTGTTATTGAGCCAACATTGACTAAAAAATGAATTTGTCTTCAGTGAGTTGCCCTTTTAATTGTATATTGTTTTTTTTTGTCTTTTGTGAATTGTCCTTTTAAGTGTGTTCGTTTGTTGTCTAAGAGTGATACCTGTTGCTAGTGCCTGAGATTTTAGATTTGAGCTCTTCTCAGGCGATGTGCATAGGTTTAGGTTTAGAATGTTAGTTTGATCTTCACCATGGGCCTTGGATCAACGTTCTGATTGGGGGCGTCCAACCATTCTATGGTTGGTGGGCCTCTGTCGTATAACACTATAAAGAGAGGTGGGGATCAGGGCTCTAACTACGAGGTTGACCGGAGCCGCCATGACCCACCAACAGCTAAACCTAACCCGATCTAAAGAGAGTGCTGCCAGCGACGGTGAAAGGATCAAGATGCCCAAGAGGGGGGTTGAATTGGGCTAATTCTAAATTTTCTTGCAATAATCAAATCCTACGGATAGCCCAATTAACCCCTTGTGCCTAGAAAAAGTGTTTCTATCAAATCAACGCACAAAAGACTTGCAACCTATGTTCCAAATTTACTCTAGCATAGCAATTCTATGAATGTAAAGACGAGTATTGAATTGCTCAAAGTAAATACTTAAAGTAAATGCTCAAAGTAAATAGAGAGAGGAACGCGGCGATGTTTTGCCGAGGTATCGGAGAGTCGCCACTCTCCACTAGTCCTCGTTGGAGCACCCGCGCAAGGGTGTAGCTCCCCCTTGATCCGCGCAAGGATCAAGTGCTCCCTACGGGTTGATTCTTCGACACTCTGTCGCGGCGAATCACCTAAAATCGCTCACAACTTGAGTTGGGTCACCCACAAGCTCCGCCGGGTGATCACTAAGCTCCCAATCACCACCAAGCCGTCTAGGTGATGGCGATCACCAAGAGTAACAAGCACAAACTCTCACTTGACCACGCGAAGCCTAATGAGAAGATGGATGCACACTTGTCTACTCTTGATTCACTAATGAGGTTTCACTCTTGGATTCTCAAATCACAAACACCTCACTAGAACCTTGCTCTTCTTGGCACTCACAAACGTGTTTCTCAGCTGTTGGAATGAGCAAAAGTAACTCCACACACGAGTGGAGCTTCTATTTATAAGGCAGCCTGAAAAATGAACCGTTATGAGCTTCTGCGGGATGACCGGACGCTCCGATCGTATTGACCGGACGCTCCGGTCAGTTCAAACCGTGCAACAGTTTCCAAGTGATGATCGGACGCTGTTAGGGTCCGGTCAGAACTGACCGGACACGTCCGGTCGCTCTTGGATGCTTACTGTAATCGACCGGACGCTGGATACTCAGGGTCCGGTCACCACTGACCGAACGTGTCCGGTCACACTTTCTCAAGTCAGGACCCTTACTGGAGTTGACCGGACGCTGGCCCTCAGCGTCCGGTCACATTGACCTTCCAGCGTCCGGTCACACCAGACTTGTTCTCCTCGGTCAAATGAACTGACCGGACCCTGCGGCCAGCGTCCGATCGCACCGGAGCCAGCGTCCGGTCAGTATTTGACCCTCCATTCACTTCCAACTCTCGATCATATGAGAATGAAGTTTGCTCCAAAGGATCTTAGGCATTCATAGGAGCTACCTAGAGCTAGTTTTAACAAGTGTGCACCACACCTAACTCACTAGACTCAACTAGGTCAAGCTACCCGTTCATACCCCCCTTAATAGTACGGCCAAAGGAAAAAATAAAGTCCTAAACTATTCTAAATATCTCTCCAACTTCAATCGACACTTAGAACTAGTCATCCTTAACCTTGTCGATAATCCTTTGAAAACCGAAACGATTTTCATCGTAGGGGCATGACAACCTCGATTGCCCAATCGATCTCCATTACCATGACCTAACTTTATATGCCTCTGCAAAACACACGTTAGTCATAGTAATCTTATATTGACATTAATCACCGAAATCTAACTAGGGGCCTAGATGCTTTCAATCTCTCCCTTTTTGGTGATTGATGACAATACCACCTCGAGTATGTGAAAGAGTGAGGTTTTTTTTGACGGACTTGATTCATATAAGCTTTTGTCGATAAGAACAAAAGTATTAGTCAAGCTTATATGACCCAAGCCAACACAATGTACTCAAAGGATATTAATTAAGCATGAGTACAAATAACAAAGCTCATTTGCTTCGAAGTTTAACCGCGGAAGCAAAAGCAAATGAGCATAACACAAGTGATATGACATTTAAATAATGCAAAGTAGAAAGCACACATGTCATATTTCACAATCACGTAGATAGCACTACCACATATATATAATAGTATGCATGAAAGTAAACACACAAATGCATAAGTAATAGTGTATCACACAAATAGAACTCCAAATGTATATAATAGGCTAATACTAGATAACTAGCTCCCCCTAAACGTAGCTCCCCCTGAGACTACATACTCGAACACCCTCTCCCCCTTTGGCGTCAAACACCAAAACTTAGGGGTTTGTCGGTCGGGCAAGAACGACGAAGAGTCGGTATTTGAACGCGGGGGCAGCTAGAATCTGGCACCATCATCATCATCGACCACGAGCTCTGGAATCGACCGACCCTCTGTGGCGGGAAGTGTCATTGAAGCGGCAGGTCTCGAGCTAGGGCTGGTCTTTGCTGTGAAGCTGCTAGTATGTCTGTCGTAGTATCTGACGAGGCGACAGATGAGGGGAGCCTCTGAGTAGTCATAGCGACTGGGGCTACTGTAGACGGACCGGCAGTATGCATATGAGGTGGAGTAGGCATGCTTGGTCAACTCGTGAAGGATGCTCCAAGACTCACGAGAGGGCGTGTCGTGTCGAGCACGAATAGCGAGGAGGACTACTCACGTGTGAAGCCCGTCTGAAGTGGAGTGAATCACAAGGGCTACCACGGGTGAGGCCAACCACTGGGACACCTGTACAAGAGGTGAAGCAAATTGAGCTGGAGGCTGTCCCTGACCCTAAAGCCCGCTGGGCTGTATAGCTGGAGTCGTTGTGGTGGAAGCAGGCTGAGCAAGCTAGGGCGAAGTCTGTGGCTATGGAGCCCCAAGAGCTGTCACTACGTGCTGCATGAAACCCATAAGTTATTCTTTGCAAGAGTATCTCTTTGTTGATGCATCTCGCTTTGCATGGCTGGCTTCTTTGCCTCTGGAACTCGTCCTGTCGAGTCTGAAACTAGGCAAAAGTAGCAGCTGTCTCCTGTGCCTGTCTATCCTGTGTCTGATGCATCCGCTCAAGAATAGCAATGAGAGCGGGGTCTGTCTGCGGAGCAGGTAGAGCAAAACTGGAGCTACCGGCCTCTGCATCATGTCTGCTTGGAGGCATCTGAGAAATAGGCAGATAGTCATCGTTAGAGCTGTCACTGTACTCGCTCACCTCCTGCTGTGCCTCTAGCTCCTCCTCCTCAGTGGTTGCAATCCCTCTGATGATCTCATCCTGCTGAGCTACGGACTCTGGCACGTTGGGAGACAGCTAGGCTATCTGGGTGCCTGAGGCATGGTATGTCTGATCCTCTGTGACAGGTTGTAAGCTGGGAACTCTGTGGTGGCACCTGTATACTCATCCATCATACCAGGGGGCTTATCAAGCACTATTCTGCGGATAAGAAACATGATCCAGTGAGCATAGGGAAGCTGCCTGCGACCCTTGAATCCCTCAGCTATAGTATCCTCCATCTCTGAAAGAAGGAGGTCCCAGATATCAAATACTATCTGCACGATCGAGCATTAAGAAGCCAGAGTCATGGCGAGTCGACCCTCTCTATATCCCAACACAGGGAGCAAAGTGTCCTCCCGATAATGGCCTCTAGCACTCTCGGCCAGAGGAGTCAAGTCGGTGGGGTTCCCGCTCGACCCCTCTCCAAAAGGCTCCTTGAAGCAATGTCGCACTAAATCAGAGGAGGGCACCAACCCTCCATGTGGGCGCTTTGGGAGGCTCCTGCTGTCCATAACAGACCTCATGTATCTTGATAGGCTGCTCCTGTTGCCTCAGTATCTCCCTGACCCTACCACTCGTCACTCTGTAGTCTTTGCCTCTAAAAGCAAAGTGAATAAACCTGTGATGTGGATCGATGAAGAGTGAAGCATAAAAAGCCGACGAACCCAAGATGGTACATATATCCCTATCCGTCCAATCAAATCATGGGTCCCGCAAATATGACAAGTATGGCCGAATGCTCTCTCCGTTCTTTGCCACAATAGACTCTATCGACAAACTCTCTCGAGATCTGAACACCGCCCCCTTTGAGATAAGCATTGTAGAAATCCTCCTGCAGGTGGGCGTGTAGAAACCCTCGCCTACTCTCTCATCCCTCCTTGGAGAAACCAAACCTCAAACTCAACAAAACAGCAATTCTTGAGCACGCTCAAGCGGTGGCGGCCCTCAAGTCGAGGTGTACCACTAGAGGTGGACCACATGGTCTAGGTGGAGGACGTGATCCCCTCCGGCCGTGTGTCGGCTGCCTCGGGCGAGATCGGTACACGGGTCCGTCCCGAGGCGGCACGGCCGGGGTGCCGGCTCTGTCTCCTCGGCCTCCTGGAGGTCTGCTAAGGCTCGCCTTGGGGGGGAGCTGCCAGGCCGACGACCCTCCTCAATGGCAACCCGTCGTCTCTGCAAACGTGGCGGTCCCAAA